TTGGGAAGCCTGAGGGGAAGAGACCTAGACGTAGATGGGAGGATAATCTCAGGCGGGATCTGTGGGAGATAGGAGTTGAAGGAGACTGGATTTTGTTGGCCCAGGACAGGGGCTTTGGTTAATTCGGTGATGAACCTTCGGGTTCGCTAAGCCATCTGGTTGGTTGGGTTTTTGTGGGTAGAGTTCAACGTGCGACTTCAGCTTTCAGGGGTAAGCCATATCGAATTCTGAGAATAATTAAACGTCTTGGCAAACAATACAGGTGCCATCTTCAGGATGGTTGTGTAGTAGCTGCCCGCTTTTGGAAGCACGCAAAAGGTTGTGAGCTGGATTTGATGGTGCTCATTGGTGGAGCCCACGACTACACCACATTCACCCCGAAGATGGCAACTGCAATGAACACTGAAACGTCGACAATTCTCAACTATCGACGCCACACTTTGTTTTTCCTGTGTTTTATACCAAACAATTGCAGTTCTAAAAAGTCGCTCTGCAGAAAAGCGATTTCAGTTTCCACAATTCTCCGGTGGATTCACGTGAAGGTCATGTTAGTGTTGCCGATTGGGGTCTCTGACAGCGCCGCCTCGTCACTGGGTCGATGAGACAGACAGAGGCCACCCTGACGTCAGAAATCTCTAGTTGGCTGGGAGCTGCTACGTTATTGATCTGCTTTGGGCAGTCTCTCGGAAGAGGACGAGGAAGGACTGACCTAGATTAATAGTTCCGTGTTTTTACAGCAACAATGAGCGAAATGGTATTCCTGACTAGAATAAGAGCATCCATGCTCAGACTGACAGAACATTTGAAAGCTTGGAGCTGTGGACGCTACTAATCGTGTCGGTCTCTCATTGTTGAATTTATAGCATCGACAACAATGCAAATGATTATATGAAGGCATTGTTATTAGGGCTTCAGTGTAACTGCTGCTTATGTTGCATTGTTGACTGATAAAAAATATAAAAAGTTAACACGATTTTATTCTGTGTCGGAATTTAATTACGCATTTAAATGTTCAAGTTGGAATAAATTAACCTCTGCAACGGCTCGAGGAAATGTTTTCGAACAGCAGAGCGGTTAAAAGAAAATGTGAAACGCCTAATGAAATACTTCCCTGCCTCGCTGGAGAGACGAAGCATTTCCATGTTTATATCGGGGACAATTACAGAAACAATTTTGCGAGTAATTTTTCTAGTCCTACGGTTGATCGTTTTCGCGTTCGAAACGTAAAGAATGAGTCGAGGACAAAAGTGTCGCCCAGCGCCACCTGCGTCGAAAGCGACAAGCTTTGTAGTTTATCTTTCGATGATAGCATCAATGACTTTGCTTTCCACAAATCACGAGAAAAAAAGCTTTAACATTTAATCTAATCTGTTATGCAGACGTGATGTCATAACCTTTTTCGTCGTTAAGAAATTACGTGTTTATTCTTTAACGTTCAATTAGAGTAACGGTTTTCTATTTCGAATTTTAGGACCTCTTAAACCTGACATAACTTGCCTCCTTAGTATAAGGGCATGACGAGGCTTGCGAGTCAATATTGATGTACGGAGTTGAAAGGATGTTTGGAAGGAGACTGCGGTAATTCAGGGTAAACTTAGGTTTTATGAGCACCTAGAATCCCAGCAAATGGAATTACCAACAGTTTTGCAGATGGACAAGGAAGAACGTGCTGTTATGAATGACAAAGAGACAGGAGGGTGACTTGATGAAACAGCATTGTAATACAAATTGCAATCTTCAGATCCTAAAAGGCAAAGCGGATATGAAAACTATCAAAGAAAGTACGACTTTATCGCTGTGTGCCAATAAGACTGGCGATCACAACCTGAAACCATTCTGTGTCTGTAAAAGACAAAGTTTCGAGCGTGCATACACGAATTCTCGGCCTGTAACACACAGAAATAGTTCCTGTGCTTGATAACACGCGATCCAACAAACTTCAAGAAAAGGCCTTGATACTGTTGGATAACCTATGTCGACATCTTTATTCTGATGTCCTGAAATCGAAAGATAATCCCGTTTTCAAAACAAGGCGTGAAGGTTCGAAATTAATTTACAAGCAGACTGATGGTGAAAACCTTCGTTTGTTGCGTCTGGTTAATATTCTGAGGACAAACTACTCTACGTGAATATTCTCGTAAGGTGGCATAATTGTAAGCAATTTTCACTTTCCTGCGCCAGTAGCATTGGTCTAAAAGGATCCTCATATTTCGTGTACAGTAAACTGCCGATTATCCGCGCTAACCGGTCGAAGAAGGGGTTTGAATAATCTAAACAACTGATAATGTAGATTACATTTTAATACAACTGTCATCTGCCATGTAAGCAAAATAGGAATTTATATATAGAAAAAAACATACGTATTCACATTCTAAAACATAAACTGAGAGTAGGTCATGAGTCGAGTTGCGAGCAGTTGAGAAAAATACAGGTCGTATATAATTTTATGTATCAGTTTACTCGTAAATAAAATCTTTATAAAAATGTAGACACGCGGTTCGAGCGTCATCTGCGACAAAATATTCTCAAAGTTTCACAGACTCGCCGTCAGATGGCAGAACCCGTTGTGATCCGCTTCACTGCATCCGGCTGTGTGAATTACGTCAGTCGCCATGAACCTGCAGGACAAAAATGGTTCCGTGTGTGTGTGTTTGGGGTTAGGTTTGTCGAAACGAAATCGTGTGTGCAGGTCGAAAGACATTTCATAACAATGAATGTATCACAAGACACCACCGTCAAGACTATCGATAAGTTCCTGGTACAAACAGCTCAAGCAGACCGGAAGTGTTTTTGCACAAGAAATTTACCGGGCGTTCATGTGTTTCTGATGAAAATGTCGAAAGGGTACGCGGGATCCTTGCCTGCAGTGCACATGCGCAAGTCGATACTAGCTGCAACACGTGAGTTGCAAATGGCGCATTCGACAGTGGCGTTAACGTAAATATTTGTGTCTGTACTCTTACAAGTTTCAAGTGGTGCAGGCAATTTAGACAGATGATAGGATAAGGGATTTTGCAGTAACCTTGCTGGGGAAACTGGGCGAAGACAACAAAATCATGTTCTCCGACTAGACTGTATTCCATGATTCAGGAGAGGCAAACAAACAGAACGGTGATCATGACACTCGCGTGCTAGAGTGCAGCACGTATGAGACAGCCCCAAAGTTACTGTACGTGTGTAGTCGTTTGATCGTCTTTCTTTGGCGAAGCGACTGTGACATCATCCAGCAGTTATTTGGAAGACTTTGCCCGTCCACAGTTACAAGAACTGCACATGATGCTAAAACTGTGAGTCCATATTTTTCATAATAGTTTTATCCAAGTGTAAGTTGTAAAGATTTGTTTATAAATAATAGCAGGGAATCAATGATTAGATGAATGTCGGTTTCACTTGAACGCGGGCACTGAAGATATTCCACCAACATCCGCGTTATATCGAGGTTCCGGTCTAATGTGAAATTTGATTGTTGAGCAAAGACATTGAGACGCCATTAACATTTTATCGTGATACGGATTTGGAGTTCCAACCAGTAGGCACTTCTTATCGTTCAACCAATCTCACCGTCCTTGATTTCGTCGTGATAATGTCATCCGGTGAAGACAAGCGGTTTTACGAGTCCTCGACGTACACCGGAAGTAACATCTCCGTGTTGTGTCGGGCCGCCTTTTCCCTTGTCTTGTCTTGACCGTAGGTTCCGAAGAGTGAAAGACATGTCTTCTCCTTCTCTTGGCTCTACGCCTTCCTCTCATGTTGACGCAATTTCGTCACGAAGAAGATTCTTGCTACAAATGTGCTAATACGTCGACACATTAACGTCTTTATCTCGTGTCAAAAGATTTTTAAAACAAGGAATGTTAATTAAATACACGTAATTAGTACGAATCCACGAAACTATTGCATCATAACACAGCCTATATTTTCAGATGGGCTGATCCCCATGCAAGGGGTAGGTACTGCGTCGCCTAAAAAGAACAGAGAAAAACTCTGATACAGAGGGGCTCGGGATCGAATCGGGCGGCAACACCAAAAATACAGATAAAAAGAAATCTATGAAAGTAGTCATACACGCGACAATGAGAGACACAGCCGAGTTTTGGTAGGAAATTGGAAGCCATTCCTCATTAGTTGATGAATAATCTTTCTCTTTGTTAATCTTTAGATTTGGGGCGCGTCATAGGT